AATGGAGTACGTGGCGTTAGCAAGTGTAATCAGAAGAGTTCATTACGAAGAATGATGATTCTTACTGCCTAAATCGTTAAAAAAACAATTCATTTTCAGGTTATAGCTGATATATTTTCCTAATCTGAGAGTTATGTGAAGTTTAACATTCAACTTTATAATACTTTCGATTATCTAGATGCAGCTGTAAGCAGGCAATATTTCAGGCAATACTTATTTGACATTTAAAATGTCTGATGCGTTGAAGACGTTTTGAGGTTACAACAAATTATGGATACGAATATCCTCTCAAAATTAATATTATTTTTTTGTTATTGTTACTAATATTACCATGATTGTTATTATCACTATTCAGAATGGACAGCTGTTTGTGAATGGTGTCTATCGTGGACAGGTCACTCCTGAACAACAAGCTCAGATGAATCAGTATAGAATTGAACTTGCCAGGTGGTCAGAAAATTTCGGGCGAACAATCCAACAGGTTTGAATAAATACTTGCAAATGCTACTACCACTGAAAAATACTCGTATAAATTTAACTCTGCAAAATCACGCTCATCAGGAAGATACTTTCGCATTGTTGACATTAATTGTAGACAAATTATAATGAGAGATGCAACATAATTCTCCTCGTAGGATCGATTTCAAAATGATTGCTAAGCCATCGTACAGATTTTCGGATCCTTTTAGCTAATCAATTTTTTTCATCCACCTGTAAAATATGCAGCGGATGTGAAGTGCATTCATGAGAATTACTCATGATTATATATACTCACTCAAGTAAAAAGCAATTGAGGTTACAGCATGGAAAAAATTGATTCACGGACAAAAAACACTGATCTTTTTTATTGTGATAAACGAGCATTGATATTTGATCTGATTACGTTCAGACAGGAAAAAATTACTTATTTACCATTTATGCAAACCAAACAAGATATTCGTTTACTATTACTTCTGTTGCTATTATAATCACAATTGTTATTCATATTATTTGTTAATTATATCATTATGATTGCTGAGGTGTTATTATATTACGTCCACCCGTCTGTCTTATTCAGCTATTTATTGAAAAGATGTTTGAATGTGTAAGAGTCACTCGCAATGACCACAAACATGAATTCACTTATTGTTAGCAGTGTGGTGGTACTTGCCTGTAAGAGCACCTCTCAGTGAAAGATCACCGTGACCAACTACTTCAGAACCGGATTTCCGAAACATAATCACTTTATCGTAAATATGATATTTCAACCAAAATAAAATTCTTTCTCAATTTCATGCAATTTAAAAATACAGTCAGTTAATTGAGACGTGAATTTGCATTTTGAATACCACATAACTTGTGAATTTTATAAGATGTTTTCGAATGCGAACTTGATCATTCATAAGAAACATTCTATAAGGATGCTCCCTTCAACTTGGATATTCTTCGAATCGTTCAATTATCCAATTACCTTTCAGCAAGTCCAATCGGAACTCAATTATGCGCTTCGGTATGGTACAGCAGCCACGTATGCACCACAGTCCAACGCTCCCGCGGGTCTACCACAAGAACCAGCATTCTGCAGAGTTGCTTGAGTTCATCCTCATGTGCGCTGTATTTCTTATTCATTGCCAAGTATTCGTATCCCATTTACAANCATCATCCTATGGATACATATAATCAATAAATTTTACTATACAACTGCTTGCTTCATCACCTCGCAAAAATTACCCAATAAAGAAAGTTGAGTTCTGTAGAGGAAACTGCGAAGAAATGATAAGACGTTTTTTTTGTTCTTAACATGCGGCATATGTTTCAAAGTCGTATCTGCCATGACGGTACTAAACATTCATTGCCCACATCACGAGTCGTTCGACAGTACTGTAGAACACTGCCATCACAGTGTTGCTCTGAAGTCACGCTATCCCGAGCTTCCCCGTTGACGAGTAATTTCCAGCTGATTCGACGCCACTCAACACAAACTGAGCAACAACAACAAAATCACATGATAATTGTATTAAGTTTATTTCTGAAATTACACATTTACACCATTACGTAGTTGAATGGAACACACGAAGTGCTCAGCAGCAACATTTCACTCATATCACTGAAAGATAATTTTGCGAACAGTAATGACTGATGAGGAAAGCTTCAAGAATATAAACAACTCAAACGAGCAGTGTAATGAATAATTAGAGAAATGAGGATGCGGTGACTTNCAAAACTGATATTGAGGCAGAGATTTCGATTTCAATGTTTCAATTCGATAACAAATTTCGATAAACAAGCATGAAATGAAGAGCATGAATAAGCAAATTAAAACAAAATTACAAAACATCGTCAAAGCACGCTTGTTCAAATGATCTGAACGAAAGTGTTGAACTGGTCAGAAGAATGAAAACAAGGAAATTGTTTTTTTTTTTTTTCAATAGAAAGATCTGCTTTGGTTGAGGAGAATTGTGTATTTGAGTGCGTATGTATAGCAGCACGAATGTTTGATAATGTCCACAAAGACGCAAACGAATAGTGAGATCTCTAAACTGGATGCATACAATCGTCACAAGAATATGATCGAGCACAATTTTGGAGCAAATAAGAACGATTCGATTCAAGCACATCTTTAGATATTCTCGCATCCGTTGCTGTCGACCTCATAAGAACGATTTACAACCCAATTACTGAATTGTTTGGTAAAGTTTCAATGGTGCCTCTTTCATATGGATGAAGAGTCCGACACTCGATGAGCCTATGTTAGCTAACTTCGGCTCCACCACCGTTTACCATCTCTTCTTGAGCTGTAAATTGAAAATTTGATCATGTGATCCCAAAAAGATGCTATGATCATGACGAAAAACTCATGAGAATACAAATCTAAAACTTTACTAGATCCCAGCAAGGATATCAAGTCATCCTGTAGATGTTTAAGAGATCATTTGATAATCCATTTAAATCATCGAGCGTTATCAGCAAATAACTTGAGTCTTTTAACGCAGCTGTATCATTTAGATTCAAAACATAACGGATGCAATGGTAGTCGACTACTCACCTTGATCTAATTCTTTCAACAATGTACCCATATGTGTAGTGATATCGTCGGCTGCATGCAACAAATCTCCTTGTAGCTGTGCCGCAGGCAATGAACCAGCTCTTGGCATACTATGATCTCGGAAAGCGTTCGTCACTCGACTTCCAATTCCAGTTAGGGATTCTGGGAGTGTTCCCATACTACCACCGTTTACCATTCCTTTGGCCTGCAATGAATCATAGTGATCATTACAAATTTCTTCAGAACTATAATACGATCAATACAATGAGAAACAATTATTCATTACTTAAATTAAAGATAACAAAAATGATAACCCTTCAAAACGATGACAAAACGTAAAATTGATAAAAATAAAAATATCGATGTCAATTTCGAAAATAAACAAATAAAATGTTGCGAAGACGCATCAGTGATAGCGATGATGGCAATGGTAATAACAATTCGAACAGGATTGATAATAATAATAAGACATACATTAAGTTGTGACATAAGCACCTCAAGTTGCTGCATTAGCTGTCGCCTTGTTTGTTGCATCACATGCATCTTCTCTTCGAGTTGCGCTTTCTTCTCTCGTAATCCACTCAGCTGATCGTCTGTGTTCTCCAGTTCCTTTAACAATGAGATCAGTTCTCGACGATAACGAGGGATTGATCCAATTTACAAATTTGATCCAAATTACAATTAAATTGATCCAAATTACAATTACAATGAGTTCACTAATTTTTCGCGTCAGATTTTGAATGATGAAATTGTAATTGAATACCTGTTGCTGCTCAAGCAATTCCATTTCACGAAGCATTTCACCGTTCTCTTCTTCCAGTCTCGCGATCATCGCTCGTTCATCTAAACTTTCTTCGGCACCAGCCACAGAACGCTCTTTGCGCATCAGACTCGAAGGATACTAAAAGAAAACACGCTCATTTTTTCATGAATTAAGATATCAATTGCACACAACGGATATACTCTGACTAATATCCATTACAATTGATATCCTTAATGGATTCTACATTCCAAGTTCAATATTTGTCATTCGAATGATTGCTTACAAGCTGCAGACAACCTTCCCATCGCTCAATCAATGAATTAACCATAGAAAATGCTCTTCTTGGATACATTTAGTCTATATCGCGCAATGACTATTGATGCAGTTGTCGGACAAGTGACCCCTCCAAAAACAGCTCTGACAAAGCTTATAACTGGCACACCTTTGGCGCTTATAGCGAAAGCCCGTAAATGACCATGTCTGTACTCGGAAAATCTTTCAGAACATGTTTTTCAGCGATTGTTTCACGAATTCCGTTTAAACAATGACAATTGAATCCCAAATGTTGCAGCTATCATTAACATGAAAATGATCAACTGAGATAGTGCAATCGAACAAGATCAAAACCTGTGTCCTGCCCGAGAGTTTCGCCGAATACCTGGCG